TTTAAACATTTGTTTATCTCTGAGAGACAGAGAGAGACAGAGGGAGACAGAGTGTGAATCGGGGAGGAGCAGAGAGAGAGGGAGACACAGAATCTGAAGCAGGCTCCAGGCTCTGAGCTGTCAGCACAGAGCCTCTGATGTGGGGCTCGAACTCAGGAATCATGAGATCATGACCTGAGCTGAGGTAGGACCCTTACTGAGGACCCTCACTGAGCCACCCAGGCATCCCCCCACCAAATCAATCATTTTAAAAAGTGGGATAATACTCTACATTACAACTATATCACAAATATGTTCAGTAAACTTTGCTACAGAACGGCTTAACATCTTGTTCCCCATTTTTACACAAAGCACTGCATTTTGTGAGCCTTGTAACAAGATACGAAATTCTTGACTTGACCATTGTGACATATAAATGAGTTTAAAAATGAGTTTAAAAGAGTTTAGTTTAATAAGAAAGGGTAATTAACCTTGAGGCTGGCAGAATTCTTCAGGGAAGCCCTTTCTGATATTTTTTTGGCCTTTGGAATCCCGGATGGTAAGTGTTGAGCTTTTAGGTGCCACAAAGAGAAAGCGAACTGTAGACCCCTCCCCAGCCCTCCCACCCAAGTGTCTCTTCTGAGCATATAAAATATGGCACTAAACTTACCCTAGTGTTTTCTCACACCTTTCTTTCTGACAGGACCCTGCCATGAATGCATTTGGCTTCTTCAACTGGAAGAAGTCTAATAGAATTGCAGATTCATCTAGTTGTCTTCCGTGGTGTTTTGGGTCCTAGGAGTTAGCTTTCACATTTGACTTTTCATCCACACGTCTGTTCTAAAAGGATAGCCTAGTGAAATTAAAGCTCTCTAGGAAGCCACAGGTTCATTTCCTAAAGCTCTCATGGATAAAGTAGTGTTTTGTCTTCTGCTGATGCTACCACCTCTCAAGGATTTTCTGAGATCTACAAAAGAAATTCTAGAGCTATGTTTATCGGTTTCCTTCAGAAGCTACAGATCATCAATTTAAGATTCAGAGCTGGAGAATACATTCCTTGGTCCTTTGGTCCATGGTACCTCTGAAAGGGCTTGGACCACTTCTGTTGATGGTCTCTGCCTTTGGGGAGATGGGTCCTCAAATTCAGGGGCCCCAGTTCCAGGACAGATACTCAGTTAAGACTCAGAATATGGGTACCAATTAAGATAAAGATAACAGGCTTTCGAGTTCAAATTCTGAGAAACATGTTGGCAATTATTTCGTCCACTCCATCATTTTATTCTTATTTTTTAAATTTTTAAAAAAACTTTTATTCAGTTTTAAGAAACAGAGAGACAGAGTGCAAGTGGGGGAGGGACAAAGAGAGAGGGAGACACAGAATCTGAAGCAGGCTCCAGGCTCTGAGCTGTCAGTGCAGAGCCCGATGCAGGGCTCAATCCCACAAATGATGAGATCATGACCTGAGCCGAAGTCAGCTGCTCAACCAATTGAGCCACACAGGCGCCCCCGCTTCATCATTTTAAAGAGAGAGTCATGGCACCCTGGAAAGGAAGGCGACCTGTTCAAAGTCACATGGTTATTTAGTGATGCAGTCTGATTAGAACTCAGTTCTTCTGACTCAGCTGAAGAGCTACCTCTCACTATCAATGGTGACCACATTTTAGTCATAGAAGCATCGATCTCCTTTATTCTTCTGACATTATAGATTGCTAATGGCAGGGCGCCCCTGTGATTTCCAGGCTGAAACTTCACCGTGCTGCTCCAGGTCTCGGTGGTCTGGACTCTCAGGCAGAAAGCATACAGTGTCCTCTCAGTGAAGATGCTCTCCATCGCGTGTCCAGGCAGGACATGTGACCATCAGTGTAACGTTGCTGTCTCCATCTCTCAGCCTGACCGTCCCTTCGCTTCAGGACTCCTCACCAAAATCAGAACATCATCCTGGTTTCTTTTGAAAGCATTTTGAAATGGAAAATGTTTGACCCCTCCTCTCCTGGCTTTACCTCCATGTGCTGTGTGTAATGATCCAGAGAGAATCAATTGGACACTGCATTTTAAAGATAAGGATTGGGATTTTACTTCTGGGTAACCTGGTGACCCCCATCAATCTCTGTCTTACAAACCCTCTGAAGATGTGATGCTCTGGTCTGCAATTAAGTCCTCGCTTCCAAGAATGGCAACAGATGTTGCAATGCAAACACCTTTATTAACTATTTATCTTCAGATGTGTATCAACGATTTCTTGGCTAACAGAAACAGCACTGTTCCATAAATGGAAAAATCACACTCTTTCATCTTCAGTCTATTTCACTCTATAATCCCTCTGAGAGGATAAACAGAGATGTATCAGGGAGGTAGCCAGTGATACTTCCCTGCTTGAAAATTTTGTCTTTTCTAAAAGTAGTTGTCACCAATCCAGTGAAAATAGTGCTCTTAAGTTGTATTCCCCAATTAGACCAGGCATCAGACGGTATTTAGGGTAAGCAGAAAGCATTGCCAAGGTGGCAATGTCAATGTTTGTGTTTTTCTTTATAACTTGGTGATTATAGTTCATTAGCCAGATTTTGGCTCTGTTTGAACCAACACTGAAAAGAATGATCCTTGCCACCCACCTGCCTTACAGGAATGTCACGAGGATTATAGATGATGGTGGAGAACTTTGAACACTGAGAATGCAATACAAGGGCAAAATATTTTCAGCAGGACTCTGAGTAGTCCTTTGTATTTAAACTCATCAAGGTTTTGTTCCATAACTGACTTCTTGCCTGGAACTTCAGAGGTTATTTTATAGGGAGGAGAACAGACTATTGTGGGGCCGAGGAAGCTTCTTCTCCCTGGATTTAACTCAGTGGCCAAACTGGCTAGATTTCTCTCACACAGGTAGGTGGAGTGGAGTACTTTGCTTTACGAGCAGGGGTGAATTCACAGGAGGCTAATGAATTCTAAGCTTCTCATGGGCACAGACCCTTCCAAGGTGTTCTCATTGCCATTGGTCTTTGTAAAATTTGCAAAAATCAGATATTCTAACCACAATGGGTTAAGAACACTATGAAATACCATTCTGCCTTCTCTTCCATCTCACCTACAGGGCTGTCAAATGGCATCAAAGTTGGTCCCGGGGCAATTGTGCCCTTGGGTAAGAGGACCTTGAGATAGGATGACCTTAGTTTGGGCTTCATGGGATATGTCTGTGATGTGCTGTCCTTCCTGTGTGCAGTGAAGTTATTTCTAGCCTTTCTGATGTAAAGATGCCATCCAGGAAGGCTTTCACTACTGCGTCAACTCACCTGCTGTCGGGACGCAGAGCTGCTGACCAAAGGTCTAATCAGGAAACACCGGAGGTCTGTGGGGATTGGAGAAGAAGCAAAGTTGCCCACGTACGGGCCTAAAGGCCGGCCTGTGGAAAGTGTGCCGAATCATCCGGTATATACAATGGAGACAGAAGATTCCATTTCAATGATGTCTAGTAGAAGGAAACTCCCTCCTGCCAGGACTTTACTTCATAAAGCATCATTTATCATTATAAATGCGCCATATTTTATTCTTTCAATAACAAGACTTGTGTGAAATAGAAGTCATCACAATTCAGTGTCTATAAATGTGGACCTATAGAGGTGCTATAAAAAGCGAGTGTATCCGGTGAGAAATCAGGAGTTTAATGCACAGCAACACTCAGTAATGATAAAGAAACAAACTCAAGCAGCGAGAGGAGGAGCGCCTGAGGGGCTCAGTAGGTCAAGTGTCCAATTTCAGCTCAGGTCACGATCTTGCGGTTCATGGGTTCGGGCCCCACGTCGGGCTCTGTGCTGACTGCCAGCTCAGAGCCTGGAGCCTGTTTCAGTCTGTGACTCCCTCTCTCTCTCTGACCCTCCCCTGCTCACGCTGTCTCTCTCTCTCCTAGAAAAAAATAAAAAAAACATTAAAAAAAAAAAGCGAGTATATCTGGTGAGAAATCAGGAGTTTAATGCACAGCAACACTCAGTAATAATAAACAAACTCCAGTCAAGCAGCGAGAGGAGGGGCGCCTGGGGGGCTCAGTAGGTCAAGTGTCCAACTTCAGCTCAGGTCAAGATCTCACAGTTCGTGAGTTCGAGCCCCGTGTCAGGCTCTGTGCTGACAGCTCAGAGCCTGGAGCCTCCTTCTGATTCTGTGTCCCTCTCTCACTCTGCCCCTCCCCTGCTTGTGCTCTTGCTCTCTCTCAAGAATAAATAAAACATTAAAAAAGTTGTTAAATAGCATGCTAGAAGAAAGAGTGAATTAGCTTTCTCTTATGTCTATTGAACACAATTACTAAGTAAAGTGCAACCAAAAAGCAATGAATAAAAATGTAGGTTAAAAATACAGGCGTGTAATTATATATACTGTGTGCAGTTCATCACTAAAAATGCAAAGTCGTCTTTAGGCTTTTGAGTATGTATGGTATTTACCAGCTTTCTAAGTAAGTATTCATGTTTGTAACCTAATTTTTATTGGTGACCTTTAGTTTGCTTTTGCTCATAGAAGGCCCTCAAAATTCTACTTGCTTTAGCCTCCATGTAATATGGATCTGTCGGGGGTGGGGGATGCCCGGCAGCAAAGCTTAATCCTTCATCAATGACTGATTCTTTAATTCTGAAGGACCTGGGAATCCAACTGTATCTATGTCCCTTGTTTCTGTCTACTCCCTCCCCGCTATGTTTAAGAAATTAAGGCTTTGACATGAAACCCTCCTCCACCTGTGATTACAGAGCCATGAGTGCAGAAATCAGACAAATCCATGCATTAAGAAGAACGGCTGCTGGGACCCCTGGTCACAGAGATCAGTGGCAAAGGGACCGATGGGCAGCTGGGGGATCCAGATTTCAGGCTGGACTGTCACTGGCTCACGCGTGACGGGCGGTAATGAACTTCCCTCCTTGAGCCTTGGCCTTCCCACTTGTGCAGGCCCGAAGGAGTTCTCTTCCTCTATTGGATATTTAGGGAAGGCCTCCGCGATAAAGCGACATCTAAGCAGAGACTTAGAGGCGGTGAGGGAGTGAGTCACGTGGCTCTCTGGGGCTTTCTGTGAAGAAGGAAAAGCAAGTCCCAAGGCAGGAGTGTGCACGGCATGTCGGAGGAGGAGCAGCGCGCGCAGGCTGAGTGAGCAAGCTGTCGGGGGAAGTAGGGGCGAGGTCAGACACGAGCACTGAGTGGAGGCCACGGGGAGGGAGTTGACCCTTAGGGAGATGGGAAGCCACTGGAGCGTATGAACGCTGGCGTGACATCACCTGACAGATACTTAGAATTCTCATCCCTGTTGCTATGTGGAGTCAGGGTTGAGACCAAATAGGAATCCTCTGTAGTCAAGCAGGTGTGGCCTGAGCCGGGGGTCCCTGAGGAAAGTGCCCACAGTCACCTCCAGGACAAGGCACAAAGTCAGAGGTACCTGGGAAGAGGCACAGGAAGGGGGTGCTGGCAGGGATGAATGAACTGAATGAAGGGACAATATCCAGCAGAGACAGCAGGCAGGGCGGATGTCAGTTTTATGGAGGAAATGGTGCCAAAAAAGATACGCGTCAGAAAACCAAAGGCTGTGCTTTGGAGCCAGTGCTGCGAAGAGTCAGACTGTGAATGAGGGCTTCGGGCTCTGTGCCCTCAGGCGAACTGTCCACTGTCCCATCCCTCAGAGTCTTTGTGGTTAAGTGAGGACCGTGTCACCATCTACGTCAGAGAGGCGCTGAAACAAGATGGTGCCTGTGTGGGGAGACAGTGGGGGAGGGGGAGAGAGGCAAACCATGAGAGACTCTTGAATGCTGAGAACAAACTGAGGGCTGATGGGGGTGGGGGGGAGGGGGGGAGATGGGCACGGAGAGGGGCACTTGTGGGGATGAGCACTGGGTGTTATATGGAAACCAACTTGACAATAAACTATTTGTAAAAATAAGAATAAAATAAAAAAGGAAATAAATTTCAAAAAAAAAAAGAAAAAGATGATGCCTGTGTGGCGCTTTGGAGGCTCATAGTAAACAATAGCTCCCACTACCACTCATGTTGTTTTATGAAATGCCCCAACGTTGGGTGAGGCTAAAGCACAGAAATGTGATGGGTAGAAACCCAGGAAATCAGGCCGGAAAGGCTGGTTGAGGCCTGACGTCAGAACTTGAGAGCCAGGGATGAGGAGACGCAGTGGACATGCCACTTACCCAGTCTGTTCCTGGAGGCCTTCGCGGACCTGCTTGATTGGAGGGTCTCCACAAATGCTAATGGGAAACGAGGTTCCCCAAGCCCCTATGCTGGGATGGGGCCCAGGGGATTGGACTTAAGCAAGAGTCGCAGGTGACTCTTAACACTGGTGCTCCTTAAGACACTTTTTTCCCCTGAGTACGCGTGTGAAGGTCTTGAACTGCGGACGACTTGGCTGGCTCACCTGCAAAGGTGCTCCAGGCTCCCACTTCTCACGCACTGGCCAAGCAGGACACCAGTTGACAGTGAGTGGAGGGAGAAGGCGTGGGGCCAGGTCGAAGGAGAGCTCTGGGGCCCTTTGGAGAGGCCAGCCTTCCTCCAGGAGAGGCTGTGCAAGGCAGCGGCCAGGGCTTGCCTGGCTCCTACACGCCGTAGGTCAGCCGGTGCCCTTGGGTGATTCCTGCCTCCTCTCTGAGCTGCAACTCCCTCCTCTGTTTAAGAATAAAAGCGTAGGGGCGCCTGGGTGGCTCAGTAGGTTGAGCCTCAGACTCTTGGTTTTGGTTCAGCTCATGATCTCATGGTTTCGTGAGTTCGAGTCCCACATGGGACTCTGCGCTGACAGTGCGGAGCCTGCTCAGGAATCTCTCTCCCTGCCGCTCCCCTGCTCATGCCGTCTCTGTCTCCCTCAAAAATAAATAAATAAATACATTAAAAAAAAAAAAAGCATAAAAGTGTAGAGGGCCAAGTTGCGCCCATTCTAAAGTCCCTTCCAGCTCCAAGTTTATCTGTTTATCAAACAGCCTAATCTTTGCAAAGGAGCTTGCTCTGCAACGCCTGTAGCCCGGAGACAGACAGCCTTTGCACACTGCCGACAGACTCGAGGCTTTTGGGGTTATGCAAAGGGCACTGAATACCCTCCCATCAAGATAAGAGCAGGAACACATCCGAAGGGCCCTCTCCCAGGAGGTTCGCATGTACCTCTGCACGCACGCACGGAGCTGAGCTCCCTGGGACTTGTCTCATTTAACCCTCTTCGCGCTGCGGGCACATAAACAGCTAGATGCAGTGACCACACTCTGACTTCCTGGCACCCGCGTAGCACTCAGCCCTTTCTCTGCCCAAAACAAATGAATTGGGCTTCACTGCCCTCTGATTGGCAGCCTGGCGATTCTGGGGTCTGAAAAGCAAAGACAATAGATGCCTTTGATTTCGGATAAATCACTTAGGGACGTCAGACCTCCGTTTCTTCGCCTGAGAGAGTCTTGGCTCCTTGGGGGAGACTTTTTTTCCTGAATTGCTATCAAAAGCTGTATTTAGATTTGGTAACTTAACATTCCGATGCTGTAAACAAAACTGGGAGGGCCTGACTTTTTAGGATTAGTTAATAAAATCATAGGTTCATCCCAGGTGACAAGCTGCCTATTTACTCACTGTCTCTCTATCAAAGCCACCTTTATCGGTCGAGGCAATTGGTGGTAGTAGTGGCCCCACTAATCTCTGTCCCCAGTAGTTCACAAGTGCTTTGCACACACAGAGCTGAGACTTCCGAGACCCGGGACTCGCCTGCTTTCATCCTTCGGACGCTCATTACATTTTAAGTTGTGCGTGTTCCTGTAATTTCCATGAAAGATTCGCAATGAATTCTTGATGTAATTTCTAAAGGAAGAGGGGGAGTAATATTTTTTCTATAATTGCTTGTTAATTCATTTTCTCATGCTCAGACCCAGGGGTGTGGAGATAGTCATTTGTGAGGGGGACAGAGTAAAAACCTCAGGAAAAACATATACCTTGAGGGTGTGTGGGTTGGGGGCACGCGGAGTTTGTGGGCAGTAGTCTGTGATATCATGACGGACCAACCAAGGAAAGTTAAGGCAGAGCATTCTTAGAAGAAAGGCTGAAGGTGGGAAACTGGATGGCAGTTAGTCCTAGGGCCCATCGTCTTCCTGTCTGGCTGGTCTCCTGCCTCCTGGCAGCCAGCTCAGGTGCCATTATTCCTCATGCCATTGTGTTCCCCCAGGAAGCCTCCTTGTGAAGCCCATCCCCCCAGCCCTGTGCCCTGAGGAAGGCATTGGTCTCCCCCAGAACAGCAGGATGTACCTTCCTCCTCCACACCTGTGGGCCTACTGGGCTTCTGAGCCTGTCTGTGATCTAGCCTGGCGCTTTGGGGGGAGGCTTCCCCTCACTACCCTGAAGCAGGGCCCCAGGGAACCAGAGGAGTCAGGTCCTGGCCACACCTTCCATTGCCTCTGTCTAGGATACGCTGTGTCTTCACCAGAGGGCCCTCCACGCGCCAGTCCACGGCGGGAGGCCCCCAGGAAGCCCCTCGCCTCAGCCCCTGAGGCCCACAGAGGTGGGGGTGGGTCCCGGAGAACCTGGAGCCGCTGAGTCGTTTGAAGTAATCTCATCTGAGAGTGTCAACGTGCAGTTTCTATTTGACTGAAGCAAGGTTCTCCTGACAAATATTTATTGAGGCCTCCTGACATCTGTGCTCAAGTATGCTTCACAGCAGGACGAGAAGGCAATGTGGTTTGGTCCTAAGGTGACTGAGGGCTACGGGGGCAGGTTCATGTACTCACTCAGCACCCTGAGTGCCTGGGGCCCACGGCCACTGGGGGGTTTTGTGCTGGGACCCTTGAGGCAGGCCTCCCACAGCAAGGCAGCGGGGAGGGAAAGAGGGGCAGCGGCCGCTCGAGGATGTTGGAAAGCAGGTGGCCTCCCCTGCCCTGTCCGGGGACCAGCCCCTCTCCGGGGCACGGGATGCTCATGAGTTTCCTGTCTGACGGGCCAGGCTGATGCCACAGGCGCCAGCCTTCCCCTTCGTGGGGGCCCCATTCCTCTGGCCCCTTTTGCTCGCCCGTTTCTTCTGCTTTTCACACCCTTTGTTGATCCGGTTTGGGGCACAGTATCTCCTCTCCTCTCCCCACAAAACTATACTCCCCTCCCCCTTACACGGAACCTGCCCTTGGCCTCAAGTCCTGCCCCTCAGATAGCCTAGCACCCTCTCCTTCAGTCCCCACCGGGGACTGAACTGTCTTCTCCAGAAGCCCACCTCTATAATGATCAAGTTGGTTGGTATTCCCACAGTTCTGGCCAGCCCCTGCCTCCGGGATGTTCTAGAAGGCCATGGCCCCAGGGTTTCAGGATACCCTCGTGGCATCATCTGGTCATTGCAACATCTTCCTGCCTCACCTGGCCCTCTAGGGGCCAATATACTGTCGTCCATTCCAGCAGTAGAAATGAGCTGACAGCTAGGATTGCTTTGCCTGAGAAGGATGGTATTTTGTGACCAGATGCCTCAAGTGCTTCTGCATCGTTGAGGAGCTGAATTTGTTCTCTAGGACCCCGAGGCACAGCAAGGAGCTAGGGCTGAGGAATGGAAAGCGTTAGGACACTGAGTCCACCCCCACCATGTGAAAACATCCTGCTAGAGATCTCCAAATACGGAAGGGGCTGCCTCGTACCTCAGCAGATGCTGAATGTACCTAATAGGCTCAGTGGACAGTCACCCACTGGAGAAATGGGAAGTTGTATTTTTTTGATCTTTATATATATATATATATATATATATATATATATATATATATATCAGCAAAGGGCCTGATCGATACAGGGCTCAATCCCATGACCCTGGGATTAAGAGCCGAACACTTAACCGACTGAGCCACCCAGGTGCCCCAAACCAGTAAGTTTTCCTGACTCAGGTACCTATTGTGATATAATCAACCATTCCACAGGTAGTGGCTTAAAACAACAGCGATATATTCTCTTCTCCTGATTCTCTTGACCGGCTGAGGTCAGCTGGGTCCTGAGTCACTCATGTCGCTGCAGCCATTTGGCAGTCTGACTGGAACAGGGGGCCCTACGATGGCCCGCTCACATATCTGGGGCCTTGGTGCTGGCCACGAGCTGGAGTTCATCTCTCTGTGGTTTATCATTAGGGCAACTAGCCCAAGTTTCTGTGTATGGGGTTGGAAGGGGTGCAAAAGAACAAGAGAAGCTGCAAGCCTGGGCAATAAAGCATGATGTTGCTTCTGCCCCATTCTGTCGCCCAGGTTCGGGGGATGGGGAAACTCCACTATTTGATAGGAGAAGCTGCAAGGTATTTGTGATCATATTTAATTTACCACAGTTCTCAAATTGCCTCTGATTCCGGGTCTTCTATGGGATCCTATAAGATTCCATTAGCCCTTGGGGCGCCCGGGTGGCTCAGTCGGTTAAGCATCCGACTTCGGCTCAGGTCTGGATCTCACATCTCGTGAGTTCGAGCCCTGCATTGGGTTCTGTGCTGACAGCTCAGAGCCCAAAGCCTACTTCAGATTCTGTGTCTCCCTCTCTCTCTGGCCCTTTCCCACTCATGCTCTGCCTCTCTCTGTCTCAAAAATAAATATAAACATTAAAAAAAGTTTAAATAAAAAAGATTCCATTAGACCTTGGTAAGGGCCACGTGGTACATTCTTATACCTGTGAAGAAGGGCTCCATGTGGATGCTGCTAAATATTCACACACACACACACACACACACACACACACACACACACACACCCCTCTTCTGGGCAGGCCTATTCCATCTCCACACAGTCTCATGCTTTAGGGGAAACCGGCTCCATGCCAGCTTTGTTAATAGGGCTGGGAAGTCTAATGGATCACAGATTGGCCCCAAAATTTAGGCCTGTATCAATAATCTCATGGCATTATCCTTCCCACAGTGCTTGGTGAGGAGAAGGCATGGCACCCAGTGCAGGCCAACAAAGCCTGTGGAGAAAGTTTCTAGGAACTTCTAGAAAAGGCTATCCTACTGGAAGGATAGTTTTCCTTCTGTTGTATGTAGAAGTAAGACCCGGAACTGCTGCCATCTTGTTACCAAACTAAAGGTGAAGCTATCGTAGAAAGGAGAGCAAAGCTGAGAGAACTACAGAGTAGGGGACGGAAGCCCTAGATGGTTCCATGCCTGATCCCTGGCCTCCCCCACTGGGCTTGTTTCAAGTCTGTGATCCAATAACTCCTCATTATTGGTGAAGCCAATTTGAACGGGATTTTATGCTCTTGCAGTTGAATGTGGCATTGACTAACCCAGGGTCCGAAATTGTTAGATGACAGATCTAGTTATTCTATTAGGTTACAAATCAGGTATCAGCTTTCAAAGAGAATAATTACTAATATATTTTTGTTTTGCTTCTTAGACAGCGATGAGACAGAAGATACGTTATGTCAGATGGAACTAGGAAATACTCCTGGGTGGCCTCTGTGGAACAGCCTCACTCAACAAATGAGGAAACTGAGACTCAGACACTTGGCGGAAACTTGACTAGGATGTCCCCACTCCCAGGCCAGCGTGCTCACTACCACGCTCTGCGTGTCCACCAGCATGGTGGAACGGTGCAGTCGTTCACACAGCCTGAAGCACGGGATTATCGTGCTATTCATACGTGAAACGTGAACTTCTAAGCAACCACCTTGGAAATCTGTTCACCAGTTTCTTAAAAAAGAAATCAAACCTACATGCGCACTATAGCCCACCAGTTCTACCCCCGGTATGTACTCTAGAAGGATGAAGCCATATGTCCACACAATTGCTCCTAGCAGTTTTTATTCATGATGTGATAGCTAAAAACTGGGTGTGTCCCAGATGTCCAAACCCAGGTGAAAGGATAGACAATAAATCAGGATATTTGTGATACGTCCATACAATGGAACGCCACTCATAGAGAAAGCAGAGTCCTGACCTAATGATACAGGCAGCAACATACATGAATTTCAAGCATATATCGAGCAAAAGAAGCCAGACACAAAAGAGGACACGTGATATGGTCCCATTTATACACAGTTCTAGAAAAGCACCTCTAACCTGTGATGACCGAAATCGGATCAGTGGTTGCTTTCTGTTGTGTGCATGCGGAAGGGCAATAACTGGCAAGGGGCATGAGGGAAATTGCTGAGGTGATAGAAATGATCTGGGTCTTCTTCAGGGTATGGAGCATGAGGGCGTCCATGTGCCAAACCTGATCAAACCCTGAAGATCTGAGTATTTCGTTGCACGTAAATTGGACCTAAAAAAGAATTTTTTCTGAATAACTTTCTAGCCCGATAGGATCGCGCAATATCAATACTCTGTCTGGGTTGTGAAGAGGACTTGTGAGCCCAGGACTCTGCCAGAGTGAGGTTGCGGTGGACTGTTCTGGAATCCAGAGCTTGGGGGAATGGCTTCCTGTTCCCGTCTGTGCCGACGGCCGGGTCAGCCAGCCTCCCGTGTTCTCTGCCAGCAACGAGCTGTCAGGCTGGGCCCAACCGCACTCTTGTAATAGCAGGTTTGGAAAGCCATTTCCTCTCGGCCCTGCAGCCACATCACAGGGCCCAACCATACCCTCTGGCCTGCTTCCCCCCATCCCTGACTGCCTCATGGAGCCCACCAAAGAGCCTTCCTTTTCCTCATCCTCAGAGACTCTTCCGGTACGTTCTGGGCCCAAGCTGCCCTTGACATCCCTTGAGCCTCGTGGGCTTTCTGGCATTCTAGGTCTGCTCCCCTGGGCCATTGCAGCAATCCTTTCTTCAACTTGTTTTTTAACTGCCATTTCTGTTTTCTTCATTTCTCCTGCCAAAATGTCAAATCAGGGCCTCTCCAGATGCCAACATCTGGTATTAAATTGCAAGTCTGGATAACCTTCCAAAACAATGTTTTCTAAGAGCCGGGGAACTTCTTTTGCTCACATTATTCATCTGTTCAAATTGTATCAAGTTCTTTCATTGATTTCTCTACTGAAATATATCTTTCAACACGTCAAGGCTATCCTATTTAAGAAAGGCCTAACGCGGGCATCAGGCCCCAAGTTGCTTGGAGAATATGTGACCTGTTGTTTTGTTTTGTTCTCTCTACTTTGCCATTAAAAAAAAAAAATTAACAAATCACAAATAAGCCCTTCATTGAATAGGCATTGAATGAATTTAGCCTTTCCCTTATTATGATGTTTATATTTTCAACGTAAAATGAAGTCTCCGAGATGCAGGACATATGGCATCCAGATGACGTCTGGTTGTCTGAATGTGGGGCTCGCGGTGGTTTTAGAATGTGTCAGCCGCATGCAGTGTGTGTCCGCCAGCTGGGAGTATGTGCCCGTGGCGGAGGGGACCCACAGCCCCAAGCTCGTTTCCTTTCGCTCCTCTTGTAATGGTAGAATCGTCCATTCCTCTTCTGTAGAGTGAGGAAATGGGGGCATCCAGGCGCCACCCACGTCACCCAGGTGTTGGTGGGGACGGTGGAAGATGTGTCTCAGGGAGGGGCCTCCTGGTCGCCTCTGACTTCTGCTTCAGTCAGAGCCAGTCTGCCTCTCTCTGTAGTACACCTTGGCCTCCACAGGAGCCCAGGCAGAAACAAACGTCCTTTGGGGCTGTGTCTACTATCAGATGATCCCTAAGGGGCCGCCTCTGGTCTGACAGGTGAGGATTTGTTGTCCCTTCTTGGAGCTGAGCCATGGGGGAGACGCTGTCTGATGCTCAGTGCCACCAGAAGGGCCTTCGGTCACCAATACCCGCAGGAGACCCGGCCGGTGGCGGCGTGGAGGAGTCGGGGGCCCTTTGCTGATTCGGCATGTACCCTCTGGTGAGGGCTCCTCTTCCCCTCCCTCCCCTCCCTCCTCCCTCCTTCCTTTCCTTCTTTCTTCCGGAGGGTTTCCTGGTGTTTTGCCCGCATGCTTTGAGACCTTTCCGCGGCAAGAAATTCCTTTAACACTTTAAGCTGTTTCAAAACGCACTTGGAAGGTGCGTGTGCCTCGCCTGCTTTGTAGACACAGGTCCAGGGAGCCCGTGGAGTCGGGCCTGCCTGGGATCCGCACGCGGGCCCACCTGGGCCCGTCGGTGGCTTCGTGGACGACAGGGCGCCGCAGTCAGCTGCCCGCTGGAGAGTTTCCAAGCGCCCGTGGCCGTCAGCTGTTCCGACAGCCTCTGCCCGGCGCCAAACGCTGACTCAGCAAACGCGGGGCGTCTCCGGAAGAGCCCGGGAGCGCCGCGAACCCAGAAGCAGCGCGGCCCCACCGCAAAACAAATGTGGAACAAAAGGTTAATTCCACGGATAAACAGCGCTCAGTGGCGCTTGACTGAGCGTCTGGTTCCCATTGCGTTACGCCGTTTCTGCCAGATGTCCCCCCGCCATGAATACGGTCTGCTCCAGCCGAGATGAAACGGAGGGCTCACCGCTAACACCGAGCGGCAACGCGCGGGGACGGAGAGATCTCTGTCAGCGTCCTCCCAGAAGGAGCTGCGTGCTTCCAGAAGGAGCTGCCTCCACATGGCCCCGGGGGGGGGGGCAGGGGGGGCTTTTCATGCCTCAGGAGATCGTGACGGGGCTGGGATGGTTTAGACGCACGTGTGAGGAGGTGGGGGGGGGGCACCTGATTCTCCCTTACGTGTATTGGTGGAATCGAAGAGACGGATGTGAAGATCATTCTCTGAGTTTCCTCAATCTGGGAATTGCAGACCCGGGTCCTTAGAGGCTGGGCTTTTGCACAATGCGCTCTCATAGACCCCTCAGTCTTTCGTGCTGTGAACGTGCACCTCGAACCTCCCATCGGCGAGGCCTGGGTTGTATCCCACTGCCATGACTGACATAGTCCTCTGTGCCCCCTGGGGGCGAAGACCGAGACTCCCTCGTCTTTGTATATTCTGTAAGCTGTTAAATACACGTTCATGCCGCGAGTCATCGAGAAAGCTCTCTCTTTCCATGTCCTTCCTCTGTGTCCCCGAGATGCAAGCTCTTGTCCGGTCCTATAGGAACGCGGGATGGTGAGGGTGCCCTGGACGCTCCCCACTCCACCCGCAGAAAGAACAAAGGCCGCTGGCCCGAGAGGTGCCCTCCATCATGTTGAAAACTGTGTCCAATGTCATTGTAGGAAGCAGCAGGTAGCTGTGAAAGGCGGCTCAGGCCCCCATTGTGACCGTCTTGGCGGCAGGTGAAAGGTCACTTCGCAGGCAAGACTCTGACCCTTAACTTTTTTGTGGAGAGTGTCACAAGGTAAATTAATCAGATTTATGGCATTAAGCTCCGCCAATATCTTTATCCTCCAGCAAAACTCTCTCTCGTAGGGCAAAAAAAAAAGAAAGAAAAAGAAAAAATCTTTCTGATGGAAGAAAGTGGTTTTTTGGTTTGTTTTTTTTGTTTGTTTCTTTCTTGCAGTTTTCACTAAAAAGCGAAAATGGCTGGACACATGTAAAGTCCAGAGGCTGGTACCCACCCTTCCTTCCTGGAAGACTGGAGTTGTTTTTTGTTTTTTTTGAGTTTTTTTTTTTTTTGTAAGTTAAAGTGAACTCTCCTGGTACTTAATCAAATGCCCCGCAGCATGGGAACAATGAGGAGAGCAGGTTTTGCTGGTGATGATAGGCCTTCTTGATTGCTGGGCAGAACCGTCTCCTTTGACCAGAGCCGCTCAGGAAAGCGCACAAAAGAGCCATCGCTGGGCTCGACGCGGGCTTGGGTCCCGTCTGGTCCTGGCCCAGAGACGTACCGGCACCGGAGCAGTGTTTCCAAGGGGGGCAGGTAGGTTGGAAGTAACTGAGCAGAGAACCCCCGGGTCCGGAAACCAGAGGCCTGAAGCCGCCTCCCAGCATGAGCGGGAGGGCATCTGCTGATGCTGCAGGTGCTTTTCATCCAGCCTCGCAGGGGAGCACCAACTTCCTGCTGCTAGAAATTTGTCTGCAAATTTTTGCTTATTCAGAAGTGACGGGATCCAGGAGACGGGGGCTAGATATGATAACTTGATTAAGGCTTGCACAGGCGACCCAGATGCCTGGGACTTGGCTGGAAGAGAGCGCGCTCTCCCTCTAATCTTTCACCAGGAGAGAGCTGACAGGTCGCAGCTGGGAGATTGCTTTACCCCGAGCCTGAAGGGGTCAATGTTTCAGACTCAGAGCTCGCTAAATACTGCGGCTGCCTTTGGATACAGCTCCTTGGCGGAAGAAGAAAAGTCAGGTAACAAAGGACCATTTTCTCACATTACTTTGTAGCACAAAATAAGGATTGGATCGCGTCGCCTCGACAAGGGTTTACTGAGCACCTACTATGTGCTAGGCCCTATCTTAGGCACTAGAGATACTGCAGTGAGTGCATCAAGCAAAGTCTGTGCTAGCTTGGGGCTTACAGTCTGGCTGGGGGGTGCTGGCAGTAAAGGCCACCATAAACCTTCCGGATGTCTGGGGGTTAAGATTCTACAAAAAACAATCAAATGAGGAGAACAGCTAAAAAAGGATGATGGGACAGAGACAATGCTTTGAGTACTTGGATCCTCTCTGAAAGATGACCAGAAACGACAGACCTGAGTGAAGGGAGAGCAAAAGCCATGCTCTTACCTGGATCAGAATGTTCCTAAAAGAGGGGTTAGTTAGCAAGTGCAAGGTGCTGGGGTGGGAGCATGCTTGATATACTCAAAGAATAGTCTTTCACGATTTTGCTGTGTGAAGGCAAAGACAAACCCATTTAGCATTCCAATTAATAGCGGTAGGACTTTAGGGACACAGTCATCACGAGGATTAAATGAAATAATACGTCTAATGTGCAGCCCGGCATCTTTGCATAGTAAGAATTTAGTCAATGTGAATTGCTTTATAATCACCATTATTGTTTAGGGGGCACTTGACAATCACACTAGTCCTGTAAGGTAGGTGGGCAAGAACTGTTAGCACCATCTTGTAAATGAATGGAACTCCAGAGAACGGAAGTGATTTGCCAAGTTCTCCTTGAAGTTTAGTGGCAAGAGAGAAGCAGCCTGAGTCCCTAAGGCTGATGCAGAGTCCGTTGCTCAGGAGAGCTGCTGACCTGCGTTGGACTTTGCCTGGGCGGGAAATAAACTTTTACTGTATTAAGCCGCTAAGATTTGGGGGTGGTTTCAACAGCTAACATTACTCAACTTGACTAATACCGTGGGCTGTAAGTGGGGCAGAGAAACCGGACTGTGCCCTTCATACAGCAGAGTTCAGGGGCTCTGTTAGTTGGGCATCTGACTTCAGCTCAGGTCATGATCCCACAATGAGTTCAAGCCTCACAATGGATTCTGTGCTGTCGGCTCAGAGCCTGGAGCCTGCTTTGGATTCTGTGACTCTCTCTCTCCCTCTAGTTCTCTCTCTCTCTCTCTCTGCCCCTCCCCTGCTCATGTACTCTCAATCTCTCTCTGTCAAAATAAATAAATATTAAAAAAAAAGAATAAAAAAACCCAGCAGAGTTCATGGCTTTGGGAGGAGACACTGTGTTACAGAGAAGGTAGTAGAGAAACAGACAATAAAGTACTGCCTCTTGGGGATCGTTTAGGTTTGGTACCATGAAGTTACTTTTTACTGATCATTCAATTTCTTAAGTAGGCTTCATGCTCAGCATGGAGCGTGATGCGGGGCTTTGAACTCACAGCCCTGAGATCAAGACCTGAGCTGAGATCAAGAATCAGACGCTTAACCAACTGAGCCACCCAGGTGCCCTTTGACAGGCTACTTTGATATCTCATCACTGGACTGTGCTCTTCTTAAACTGCATCATTGATAACAGTGGAATCTTTTATCATTAACAGTGGAATCTGTTATCCACTTATCATTGATAAGTGGAATCTTATTATTTGAAGGACCAAAGGATAATGTTTGGGGGTGGGTGGGCGCAGGGAAGAATTGGGACGAGAGGAAAGATGAAATGAGGAATAAATATAAATAAAACTAAATTGTCATATAGGGTATCCTTGACCTTCCGTTCGGCCTCCAGAATTTTCACTGACCCCCAAAGCTTTCCCCAGTCCCATCCCCTGCACCCCAGTTCCCCTGGACCCTGAACATCTCTATATTTTTATCAACACCACTTGGCCCAGCCCCTCTGCCAGGAACATGTTCCATCTGCTTCTCCATTGAAACCCTATGTATCCTCCAAAGCCCTGC